TCATGCACCCTCTGTAACTCCGGTTCTAGGTGATCATGCACCTTCTTCTCCAGTTCTAGGTGGTCATGCACCCTCTGTAACTCCGGTTCTAGGTGATCATGCACCCTCTTCTGACCACTACAGGCTCCAGTCATGTACATGGTGCACAAACACACAGACAAAGCACTCTTGAATGTAAAAAGAAGAGAGGAGATAGGAAAGAAGTGCCTTTTTTAAATTTAAATTTTATATTTTATGAGTATGAGTATTTTGTCTTCATGTATGTATGTGAATCGTGTACATGCCTGGTGCCTGTGGAGGCCATAAGAGGCCATTAGATCCCCTGGAACTGCAGTTACAGAGGGTTGTAAGCTGCCATGTGGGTGCTAGGAATTAGACTAGATTCTGTGGAAGAGCAGCCAGTGCTCGAAACCATAGAAGCAGAAACCAGGAAGCCTAAGTGACAGTCCATTAAAGCTTCTTTGGTGGTGGTGTTTTTGTTTTTGTTGTTCTTTCATTTTATTGTTTGTTTGAGTGCTGAGCCTCAAACCTCAAGCCTTGTGCATGGTAGGCAAGCACTCTACCAAAGACCTACATCCCCAGCCTAGAGTGAACCTTTGATGTCTTCTTTGTAAAGGAGGATCGCCATCTTGATCCTCATAAAATTGAGCAGGTCAAAGATGAGAGCCTGCTCAAAGCCAGAACTAGGAGAATGCCAGCATCCACAGGTGAACAGGATGGTTTGGCTCTGCCTAAGGCTTTAAGAGCAGTAGACATCTCCTTGTAGACATTGTGGCACAGGTCTGAACATCCTCACTAGTGTAGTGTTTGTCTGGAAAGTAGCATGAAATTGGTCCTGGGCCCTTGGCAAACCAGGACTAAGCCAGAATAATAGGTAGAGGTGTGGTCTGACATACTCATCCATCCACCATGAAAAAAATTGGACCTAAGTAGCAATGATGTATGAATAATGAACCAGCAGAGAATGTAAAGGATGTGAAAGAGGAATTGAAAGAACAAAATGAGAACAGGCCAATCTGAAATGGAAACAAATAGGACTTTCATGAATTAAAAACTCAATCCAGGGGCTGGAGAGATGGCTCAGAGGTTAAGAGCACCGACTGCTCTTCCAGAGGTCCTGAGTTCAATTCCCAGCACCCACATGGTGGCTCACAACCATCTGTAATGGGATCTGGCACCCTCTTCTGTATACATAATAAATGAATAAATCTTAAAAATAAAAAAAATAAAAAAACTCAATCCAGTTAGGGACAGGTGGAAGCTCTGTGGAAGGTGTGGAGAAACAGCCAGGCATGAGAAGTTAAGGAGGAACAGTGAGCTCCTTCTATTCTTGGGTGTTTCCTGGTCTCTGAGAGGGCTGACAAGATGCAAACAATGTCATTAGAGACCAGGGGGTGGAGAGGACTCCAGGTCTGGGCTGAGCTGAGCCAATCATGGAAGAACCAGCCTGGGAAGAGGATAAAAGCTGCCTCAGCTTGGTACCTTCTGAACTAGGTGGAGTCTCCAGGGCCAGGCAACTGTAATCCCTTCTATGTCAAGATAGAAAACAAAAACAGGAGAATTTTTGGAAGCAAGATAGGAAATAGAGACAGGAGGACCCTTGGAAGGTCGTGAACAGGTAGGTAGCTGACATAGTGGCAAACAACAAAAAGATAGCAAACCAGGTGGAAGTCAGGACCTGAGATTGTCCTCTGACCTCCACATAATGTCTTCACTTAAACACATTCAGATGCACATGTGCATCACATGCATCATACACAGAAGATTACAAAAAAATATAAGATGTTCAAAATTAGTAATATGGTTTCTTTTCTTAACATTTTAGCCTTTGCTTCCCCACTTTGTTGGAGACAGGCATGTTGGGGTCCATCCATATTCATGCAGACAAAGACTGCGGCCTCCTCCAGCTGTGTCCCTCTGCCTGGGCAGTCACTTTGATCCATGTGGTCCATCCTTGAGATTTACTTTTCACAAGTGCCCTCAGCATGTCATCAGCAAAATCCCAAGCACTGGAAGAGACAGTACCCGGCTGCGAAGAAGATGTGAAAGGAAAAACACTTCTCCCTTGGGGCCCCCTTTTTGGTCACCGGAGTGAGAAGATTGTCTTTACCAAAGGTGATGGTAGTCCAGAGGAGAGCCTGCTCACCGTCACCATCACAGAGACTACTGTCATTGAGTCGGACTTGGGTGTGTGGAGTTCACGGGCTCTCATCTACCTCACGCTGTGGTTCTTCTTCAGCTTTTGTACCCTGTTTCTCAACAAGTACATCCTGTCCCTGTTAGAGGGAGAGCCCAGCATGTTAGGTAATGCCACCTTGCCCAGTGTGCACTCCTGTGGGCCCCAGTGCTTCGTGGCCACAGGCCACCAGGAGGGAGGGAAAGGGCTAAAGGAACTTACCCAGATATGTTTCTGGAATGAAGGGTGATATTCTGTGCTCATGTGTGGGAAAGGACTGTTTTCAGCGTGGCCTCATGCCTCCCTCCACAGGTGCTGTGCAGATGCTGTCAACGACATTAATTGGATGTGTTAAAATATTTGTTCCTTGCTGTTTGTATCAACACAAAACCCGGCTCTCTTACCCACCCAATTTCATCATGACTATGCTCTTTGTGGGCCTCATGAGGTAAAAATGTGTTGACTGTCTTAATTATGTTTTTTTTAAGATATAAAATTCCTTTCTAATCCAGGTGTAGTGGTGAATGACTTTAATCCCAGAACTCAGGAGGCAGAGGCAGAGGGTTTCTGTGAGTTTGAGGACAGCCTAGTCTACAAAGAGAGTTCCAGGGCAGCCAGAGATACAGAGAAGCCCTGTCTTGAAAAGCCAAAACCAAACAAACAGAAAACCTTTCTAGTTACTTAATGTGGAAACCCTATTGGAGGCCTTAGCAATTAGGGCTTCTTAGTTTGTGTTCAGGGCACAGGATACAGTCATAGTGCCATCCAGTTGTCGGACATCCATCAGTTAGATTTCAGTTTTGTGGCCCTTAATGCCACATGCATTCTCTCTCAGAATCTTTTATAAGGCAGTCATTAAAAAAAGTAATTCAGCTGGGTGTATTGGCACATACCTTTGATCCTAGCACCTGAGAGGCAGAGACACATGGATCTCTGTGAATTTGAAGCTAGTCTAGTCTACATAGTGACTTCCAGTACAGCCACAGCTACATAGTGAGACCCTGTCTCAAAATAAAAAAAAAAATAAAATAATGATAATAATAATTAAAAAAAGGTAGTTCAGTAGTAGTAGGAAGGTGTTGGCCATCCTTGAATGCAGTGGTGTCATCCTCACCTAGGACTCAACCTCCTTGTTGGGACAAGGGACCAGATGTGCCCACTGGTCATGACTAAGCACTTGGAGTCTCTGTTATAAGCAGACAGGTCCCTTCTCATGTGTTTGTTTTTTTTTTTTTTTTCTTGTTTTGAGGTTTGCGACAGTGGTTTTGGGGCTGGTCAGCCTGAAGAATGTGGCAGTATCCTTTGCGGAGACCGTGAAGAGCTCGGCTCCCATTTTCACAGTGATCATGTCTCGGATGATTCTGGGGGAGTACACAGGTAGGGACTCTCCTGGTCCTGCCTTCATCTACAGTGTCACCTACTGCCCATTATGTGCTGGGTCTTGTTCAGTTTTCCAGAGCTTCTCAGAGCAGTGACGGTGCTGGAACCACTTGTTTCACTTCTTGAAAAGTTTTCTTGGCAGTCACATGTGTCTCCTGCAGTCCTTTGAGCAAATGCTTCATCAAGCTGGCTGTGTGCTGGGGCGTTTGTGGGAGACTGAGGGTCAGAGGAGGATGACACCTCCAGTTGGTGGGAGTGGGGTGGAAGCTGGAGAGTGAACAGCAGGCAGGTTCTCCAAGGGCTGATCTTGATCCAAAGACAATAAGGCAATATCCATATTCAACGATAAGGACTCCCTCTTTAATGGACAGGCAGGTCACTTCCTTAGGGTGCTTTGTGACGCTTTTTTACTTTTTGCAGATAGAGTTTCTCTGTGTAGCCCTGGCTGTCCTGGAACTAGCTCTGTAGACCAGGCTGGCCTTGAACTCAGAGACTCACCTGCTTCTGCCTCCCGAGTGCTGGGATCAGAGGTGTGTGCCACTGCTGCCCAGCTTGCTTTATGGCAACTGTTTCTCTTTTGTCCCCAGGGCTGAGGAAGTCAGATTTATTTTAATAATGTGTAGACTGTTTCTGATTACTTTCTTACCATGTTAGACCCATACCCTATGAACTTTTTAAAAAATTTTATATGTATGAGTGTTTTGTTTGCATGTATATGTGTGTACTACTCGCATGTCTGGTACCCAAGGGTTTCCTGAAGCTGGAGTTACAAATGGTTTTGAGCCACCATGTGGATTCAGGTCCTCTGCAAGAGCAACCAGTGCCCTGATCCACTGAGCTATCTCTCCAGTGTCTCTCCCCTACCAACCTTTTGAAAATCAGCATATTCTGGGCTAGAAAGATGGCTCACTAGTTAAGAGCACTTGCTGCTCTTGTAGAGGACCTGAATTTACTTCCCAGAATCTATATTTGAGGCTCACAACTGCCTGAAACTCCAGCTCCAGGAATCTAACTCTCTTCTGACTGTTGAGAACACATTCACAAGTGGCACACATTCACATAGATACATACACATACATATCAGAAAAAATAAGTCTTAAAAATAAAAATAGCATATTCAAGATTGTTATATTCAAGTTAGGTGGGGCTGGAGCAACGGCTCTTTGATTAAGAGCACTTGCTGAGCCGGGCAGTTGTGGCGCACGCCTTTAATCCCAGCACTCAGGAGGCAGAGGCAGGCAGATCTTTGTGAGTTTGAGGCCAGCCTGGTCTACAGAGCAAGATCCAAGAAAGGCGCAAAGCTACACAGAGAAACCCTGTCTCGAAAAACCAAAAAAAAAGAATTAGCAAAAAAAAGAGCACTGGCTGATCTTCCAGAATACTGTGGTTCATTTCCCAGCAAACACATGGCAGCTGACAACTGTCCGTAACTCCAGTTCCTGGATTTGTATGTGTGATGCCCTCTTCTGACATCCAGGGGCACTGCTTGAAGGTGGTACACAGAAATACATGCATGCAGAACACACAAAATAATAAAATAAGATGGAGAATAGTACATCAAATAAATCTTTTATAAGAATGGTATTGATTTATATTTGTATTTGCTTATATTAAATAAAAGACAAGATCAGAATTGGAGGCACATATCAATGGCAGAGTGCTTGCCTAGTGTGCATAAAGCCCTGGGTTCCATCTCAATACCATACATGCACAGAAATACAATACCTTGAAAGGAAGGCAACTGGCCTCCTACAGGGGCCGGAGTGAGACCAGCCAGACTGGCCACAGGATTCTTCTCACATGTGCTTTTGGAACTGTATAACTTTTTAGGTTATTGTAAACCAGAATCAGAGCTGGGGATATAGCTCACAATCAATAAACCAGAATCAAAGGGACAAAAGACCAATTCCTAAAAATCACAAGCAACTTGAATCAAAGGAACCTTATCAAGTTAGCCATATAAAGTATTATTTCAAGCCAGGTATGGCGGTACACACCTTTACCCCAGCACTCGAGAGGCAGAGGCAGGCATATCTCTGTGGTTCGAGGCCAGTCTGGTCTACATAGTTCTAGGACAGCCAGAGCTACTTACTTATTGAGAAGACCCTGTTATAGACGAACAAAAAACAAACAAGAAAAAGAGGGTTATTTCAAATGATTCTAAAACATCATGATTTGGCTTCTGACCATGACGAACAAGCTTCAAGCAACCATTCACTTGTCAAGAACAATTAATAAATGCTGGTGAAATTTATCAAGAAGGAATCTGTCAGAGAGGCCTTAGAGAATGTCCGAGGTGCTAGTTTTTGTTTTGTTTTGTTTTGTTTTTCCGAGACAGGGTTTTTCTGTGCAGCCCAAGCTGTCCTGGAACTCTGTAGACTAGGCTGGCCTCGAACTCAGAGACTATGTTTCAAAGGGAGTCTAGGTTCACTGGGAGAAGTAGCCTGGTTATGTGTCACCATCTCCCCAGGAGGCATTTGGTCATTGTGTGGTAGCTGAGAATCTTAGTTGCCAAGGAGGAAGTCAGACCCAAGGAACAGTCTGAAAGAAGCCAGACTTAGAGCTGGGATTCTGACTCTGGTGAAGCCCAAGTTGGAGAGGTGTTGGCTGTGCCACAGTTGCCCAGAAGCAGTCAGGTAAAGTGCAAATATCTAGTTCTCTCTGGAATTTTATACAGTTGTACACCATTTAAATGAAAATTACCGAAGAGACAAAGGATAAGACCAACCATAGAAAGCCAAGAAAGGGCTTGAAAAAAAAAGATTTTCTCAAGATAGGCCTACATGTCCTTTCCTGAGCTTGGTCTTCTGGGCTCAGGATCATTCAGTTCCTTGATTACTTCCTAAGGAGTTCAAGTCCCTGCACTGGGCCTTACCAACCTGTCCTGGAACAGGAACCATTTCTCCTGAAATTACTTTGAACTGATCATGGGACTGTGACTGTTACTTTTGATAAACATAAAGGACACATGTCCTTGTTTTCTTTGACTATTGAACTAAGTAAGTCCTGTATATAAAATTGAAAAGGTTCTGAATAGTACCTGATATCATTTCCAAAAGAAATATAGGTAGGAACTGTGATTTGCATTTCAGTGAACAGATTTTTTTAATTAAGTATTTATCTGTGTGTGTGTGTGTGTGCGCGCGTGCGTGCGTGCGTGCGTGCGTGCGTGCGTGCGTGCGTGCGTGCGGGTGTGTGTGTGTGTGTGTGTGTGTGTGTGTGTTTGCATGTTTGCCATGTGTATGAGTGCATGCAGAGGACAGAGGAAAGTATCAGATTCCCTGTTACTTAGTCACAGACAGTGATAAGCCCAAAGTAAGTGCTGAGAACTAAGTTGGGGTCCTCTAGAAGAGCATCAAGCATTCTCAAATGCTGAATGATGTTTTGTTTCGGTTTTTGAGATTTTTTTGAGTTTCTTTGTGTAGCCCTGGCTGTCTTGGAACTTGCTCTGTAGACCAGGCTGGCCTCAAACTCAGAGATCTGCCTGCCTCTGCCTCCCAAATATTGGGATCAAAGGTGTGCACCACACACCTGGCTTGTTTCTTGTTTGGTGTTTTGGTTGGTTGGTTGGTTGGTTGGTTGGTTGGTTGGTTGGTTTTGGTTGTTGTTGTTTCCAAAAAGAAATAAACTGGAGGAGCCAGCAGTGGGTAAAGGAGCCTGCTGCCAAGGGTGAAAACCTGAGTTCAATCCTTAGTACCTAATGGTATAAGGAGGGAACTATCTCCCACAAGTTATCCTCTAACCTGCACATGTGTGTCATGGCCTGTGTGCATCCACACTTACGCACACTCCTGTTTTGTTCTTGCCAGGGCTGTTGGTCAACCTGTCACTCATCCCGGTCATGGGAGGACTAGCATTGTGCACCGCCACTGAAATAAGCTTCAACACCCTGGGGTTTTCTGCTGCATTATCCACCAACATTATGGATTGGTGAGTTACAGATCACAAGGGTAAATGATGAAGGAGAGGTTGCTTAAGAATTGCTGGTTTTTTCTTCACCCAAGTCCACAGGTGTTCAAATCCAGGCTAGCTCAGCCCCACTTCTGTTACTCAGAGCCAGGCTCTACTGCCCTGCCTTTTCTTCAAGAAGTACAACAGTAACTTCCAGATCAGGTGCATTTTCTCCTAACCAGGCTGGAATTTGATGACGTGTTGTCCTGATTCTTTCATTTTGTTTTGTTTTTCGAGACAGGGTTTCTCTGTGAATCAGTCCTGGCTGTCCTGGTTACAGTCAGGATAATTGTTTTAATCAGTATGGTAACTAGACTGGTGTGGTGGCACATGTGCCTGTAATCTGGGCAGAAGCAGGAGAAATACTGTGAGCTACAGGTCGTTGAGGGATACATAGTGAGACACTACCTTAAATAACAACAACAACAACAACAACAACAACGAAATAACCACAGTGAGGTCTTCTGACCTTCACATATGTACCATGGCATTCATATACACACCCACATATTTGTGTGCTTTCTCTGTCTCTCCCTCTCCCCTGGTGTGTGTGTGTGTGTGTGTGTGTGTGTGTGTGTGTGTGTGTGTTACACTGTAGGATGTAATTAATATGCTAATTCTTCTACAAATAATGTTTTTGTCTGATGACAAATAGAATAGAATAGAATATTAATCTATTAACTAATAGATTAATTAAGGAGAATAGAAGCTTAATCCTGTATGTCACATAGTCAGGCTAAATAAAGCCAAGGAAGAAGCCAGAGAACATCTCTCAAGGCTCTAAAGCCAGTCTTCTGGAACATTTTTTCTCTTCCTGGCTAAGTGAGTATATCCTGGTGTCTCTCAGGCAGATGCCAATCATATGTCAAAGACCTGGGGGAAAATGTTGAATTGGTGTTATTAGTCACACAGTCTGTTGAGGGTTAGGTCATATTCCAGTGCTGTTTCTTTTTGTTATTTTTTTCTCACTGTATAGTCTAGGCTATCCTACTGCCTCAACCTCCTGAGTGCTGAGGTGACTTTTAGTGCCTAATCACTGTATCTGACAAGTTATTTCCATCTGTCTTGTCACTGTATCCCACTGTGTCAGGTTCTGGTCTCTGAGGTCACTTCTGAAGCCAGAATTGTTTTATTTTCCCATTGGCTATTTGTATGTTTTCCCTGTGGTGTGTCTGTTCATAAGTCTGGCTTAAAAATCTGATTCATAGCTGGGCGGTGATGGTGCACGCCTTTAATCCCCGCACTCGGGAGGCAGAGACAGGCAGATCTCTGTGAGTTTGAGGCCAGCCTGGTCTACAGAGTGAGTTCCAGGAAAGGTGAAAAGCTACACAGAGAAACCCTGTCTTGAAGAAAAAAAAACAAAACAAAAAAAAAATCCGATTCATATACTTGTCATAGGAGCCCTGGACCCTAAGGCTACTAAATTTATGGAAACTTCATCCCCAGGGAGTTATTTTGGTTTTGTTTGCTTGCTTACTTTGCTTATTTAGGTTGGTTTTAGATTTTGTTTTTTTGAGACAGGGTCTCTCTACTTAGCCCTGGCTGTCCTAGAACTCACTATGTAGACCAAGCTATCCTTAAACTTACAGAGACCCACTTGCCTCTGTTTGCTGAGTGCTGGGATAAAGGGTGTATGCCACCCACTCTTGGCTTATATTGAATTTTTTGTTTGTTTGTTTGTTTCTAGGATTTTTTTTTTTTTAGGTTTTTTGTTTTGTTTTGTTTGAGACAGGGTTTCTCTGTGTAGCTTTGGATCCTGTCCTGGAACTAGCTATGTAGACCAGGCTGTCCTTGAACTCACAGACCTGCCACTGCCTCCCGAGTGCTGGGATTAAAGGCATATGACATCACCACCCAGCTAGATCTATTTTTATCATATATGTATGAGTGTTTTGCACCTGAGACCTTCAGAGGCCCATGGAGGTCAGACGAGGATGATGGGTCTCCTGGAACTTGGGGTATGGAAGGTTGAGAGCCACCATGTCAGCTCTAGGAACCAAACCTGTGTCCACTTGTAAGAACAAGTGTTCGGGACCTCTGAGCCATCTCTCCAGCCTTCTTTTGTGATTTTGAGTCAGGGTCCCACATAGCCCAGGCTGGCTTCAAACTCATTATGTATCTGAAGATGACTCTGGACTCCCTAATCTTCCTGCCTAAGCATCCCATGTTGGGTTTTTCAAAGTGTGCAGAGCAAAACCATCGTGGTCCTCTGATGTTTGAGATGGCTGGTCATTCAGGCTCTAACTGCTTATCTGTAGAGACAGTAGGTACAGTTCTGCTTCTCAGCGAGATGATGACTGGACACACCTGGTACAGGACTGGCCTCAGGCATGTAAGTGCCTGTGGCTGTTCACCTTTGCAGCCCCTTACATCACCACCTTATTTGCTCGCTGACTCAGTGTTTGACGTCTTCTTTTTGTTCTAGTTTGCAGAATGTCTTTTCAAAAAAGCTTCTCAGTGGGGACAAATACAGGTTCTCGTGAGTATCTCCAGTAACAGTTTTTACAGTTTCTATTTTTGGCAGTGGTGTGGTGGCAGTAGTGGGGTGGGGGTGGTGAGACAATCTCTCTCCGTGTACTCCTGGCTGTCCTAGCATCCCTATACAGACCAGGCAAAGTTCCTCCTTCCTCTGCCTCACAACTGCTGGGATCAAAGGTATGCACTTCCACATCCAGCATCGAATATAATGTCATAAAGCCCACCGGGACTTTTGAGCATTTTACAGCTCTGAATGAGCCCTGGGAGCCTGAACTCACTTGGTTTAAGTGGCTTTGACAGTTCTTTGTGAAAGTTGAATGAAAATCACTTGATTTCCAGCTTACTCAGCAGAATACTAAACAGCCAGCTCAGATCAGGGGGGCCCTTTCAACCTTGTCATTGTGGGAGAAGCATTTCTAGATTGCTGGTTCTTTAGAATTTTCTTTCCTAAAAATGCCTGGGTGGAAGCCTAGACCCCAGCATGGGAATGATCAAGTATTTTCTGTCGCTTTAGGGCCCCGGAACTGCAATTTTATACCAGTGCTGCTGCTGTGGCCTTGCTGATTCCAGCATGGACCTTCTTCATGGTGGGTTTTCAGCCTGGTACCCACCACACTGGGGCTACTGTTTCCCTTTGACAGTTCAGGAGAAGGGTGGGTGGCTAAATTTTAGTTTTGTGTTAGGGTTTTTAGGCTTGCTTAATTTATCTTTTGTTATAGAAATGGTATTTGCCCACTATAGAACAGATAATGGCGTTTTGTTGTTGTTGTTTTGAAACAGGGTCTCATTGTGTATCCCTGACTGGCCTGAAACTTGATGTGTAGACCATGTTAGCCTGAGACTTGCATAGATATGCCTGCCTCAGCCTCTTGAGTGCTTGTATTAAAGGAATGTGTCCCCACACCCACCTAAGTCACAGGTTTATACTTGAAACCAAACTGAGATGATCTCCCACCCTCAGCCTCCTTCCATAAGTTGCCATGTAGTGAGCTTGGTACAGATATACTCCCAACACATTTCCTGGAGTCCCTCCGTTTATGGAAATGTGTGTCTGTGTAAATCTTTTTCTTAAAACATGTTGCACTGGGAAGTCTATAGTGATCATGCTGTGGGCCATAACTTTACCTTGCCCCTCAGTTTCATACATGGTAAAGAAATTTCTCACATCGACACACTTTGCAAATGGAGGTATGACTTTGGAATTTAGTCTTGGAACTGGAATGGATGGTTGAAACATTTTATGTTCCCACTAGCAGTACACACACAGGAATTTCAGTTTCTTAAGATCTTTACCATTGAGGGGTTTTGTTTGTTTGTTTAAAACATCGAAACAGGATCTCATTTTGTAGCTCAGGCTGTCCTAGAACTCAACGTATATCCCAGGTTGGTCTCAAATTGTTGGCAATCCTAGCCTCAATCTCCCAAATGCAAAGATTGCAGGCCCAGGCTAGCCTAGAACTCACAATGCAGCCCAGCCTGGCTTTGGAACTGTTGGCTGTCTTCTTGCCTCAGTCTCCCAAGTGTTAGGATTGCAGACCTGACGTCACCTCTACCTCCCTAACACGTTCCTATTTATCTGATTTTTGATAAGATAGTGAAACACCTGAAGTGTATACATGGAGGTCAAAGGACAAGTTTGGGAGTCAGTCCGAGTCAGTCCTTACTTTCTACCTTATTTGCAAGCCAAGTTAGCTATCTTCCAATTTTCTGAAGATTCTCTTTGTCTCTGCTTCCCATCTTGTAATAGGAGCATGTAGCAGGAATCTTAAAAGGTCTTATTAATAAAATCAAACCTGGGGCCAGGTATTGGGGTGAATGCTGGAAGATCAGAGAGACAGAACAAGCCACAGCTAACCTCATCTGGCCAACTTCTCAGCTGATCTTGTTTCCTCAGACTGGAAGCCTCTGTGTCCTCATATCCAAATGGATCTCAGCTGAACTGCTACTCAAAAGCCTAAAAGCTTAACCAGGCCTATTTCCTCGTTTTCACAACTTAAATATTTTTCTGCTTCCTGCTATCACTTCCTGGGGATTAAAGGTGTGAGTCACCATGCCTGGCTGTTTCCAATGTGGCTTTGAACTCACAGAGATCCAGATGGATCTCTGCCTTTGGAATGCTAGGATTAAAGGTGTGTGTGCCACCATTTTCTGGCCTCTATGTCTGTCTAGTGGCTGTTCTCTGTTCTCTGACCCCAGATAAATTTATTAGGGGGTACAATATATTGGGGAACACAATATCACCACAGGAGCGATAAGATTACATATATGTACTACCGTGTTTAGCTATATATATGTTCTGGGGATCTGACTGAGTTTTTTTTTTGTTTTGTTTTGTTTTTTGTTTTTTTTTTAAAGATTTATTTATTTATTATGTATACAGAAGAGGGCGCCAGATCTCATTAAAGATGGTAGTGAGCCACCATGTGGTTGCTAGGAATTGAACTCAGGACCTCTGGAAGAACAGTCGGTGCTCTTAACCTCTGAGCCATCTCTCCAGCCCCTTGTTTTTGGTTTTTGGAGACAGAATTTCTCTGTTGAACAGTCCTGCTTGTCCTGAAACTCACTCTGTAGCCCATTCTGGCCTCGAACTCACAGATATCCGCCAGGCTCTGCCTCCCGAGTGCTGGGATTAAAAGCGTGCCCCACCACCGCCCGGCTAAAAGCTTTTATACTTGTATTCCAAGTGTGTTTCCCCAGCACCTCCCCCAACTTTTGAGATAAGATCAAAATTAACCCAGGTTGGGCTCAAATTTGCTGTTTATCTCAGACAGTCCAGATCCTCCTGTCTCGACTTCCTAAATGCTGGGATTATAGGCATGTAGTACCCTGCCTAGCCCAGTCTTGATAAATGTGGTAGAGTGCTCTCTAGCAAAGAGGCATTCAGAGCTGAGTGTTACTGCTCTTCAATTACTGGGCACCAGTGAAATCACATCTTCTCAGCAGTGATGGCAGGCCAGACACAGCAGGGAGACACAGGCCTGAAGCATGTCCTTTTGTTTTGGCCATAGGATGTCCCAGTGATTGGCAGGAGTGGGAAGAGCTTCAGCTACAGCCAGGACCTCGTGCTGCTGCTGCTGACAGATGGCGCCTTGTTTCACCTTCAGAGTGTCACTGCATATGCCCTTATGGGAAAGATCTCCCCTGTGACTTTCAGGTGAGTGGAATGTTTTTTCAGGAGACATGGAAGATGTTTGAGGTTCTCTTCTGTAGTAACAGATGGTGGCACATTATGGTTTCTTTGATATTTTGTATCACCACTGTATGAAATTGATATTCAGGGAACCTTTTCCTAGAAATCTTTGTTGCAGAAATTTTTCGGAGATTCTTTGGATATTTTTCTTATATAGAAGAGAGCTGTCAACATTGTCTAAATATTAATCTGTTTGAGGTGTGTAGATGTAACCAACCGTCTTATTAAATAAGAAACACAGAACCAATGCAAAGAAGAAAGCCAAGAGATCAGAGCTAAGAGCCTTACCCGTCTGCTGCAGCTAACCTCTTCAGCCAAGAGACCTACTTCCTGTGTTTTTGTCTTTATATAGACTTTCTGTTCTGCCTTCTCATTGGTTGTAAACCCAACCACATGACTGCCTCATCACTGCCTGTTTGTACAGACTTGTACTTTTAGGGAGTAATAGCAAGGAAAAAAGAGGTTTTTTCCCCAAATATTTCTGTCTGTGGTTGATTTACTCCAGACATGTCTAACCCTTAGAGCCTATTAATCTCATCATAGAAAGTTCAAGCAGGCCGAAAAGCATAAAAATTAAGTTATCCATACTCCCAGCCCAACAGAACAAAAGTCCAGGCATTTTAATGTATTTCATATTAACTGTTTCTACTGGGTCATAATGTGTGCATGGGGCCATTTTCACTTAAGAAATTATAGCATCTTAGGGTTATTTTTTCCCCTCAGGTCTGTAAAGATTTTGACAGCATACATGATGTTTGTCTCATTCTTTTAATAAAGAGCAAGCTGAAGTATTTAGGGGCAAAATATCCCAGTGTTGCAGGGAGTGGTGGCACAGTACTTAGAAGTTTGAGGCATGAGAATAGAGGCAAGCATAGGACCCATGGTGAGAACTCTCCCTCCCCACACTCCCAAAACAGACACACCACAATATCTCCAGGTGACTTTAAAATATTTCAGTTCAGGAGCTGGAAATTGACTGAGTGGTTCTTAAAGAGGACCAGGGTTCAGTTCAGAGCACCCACATGGCAGCTCACAACCATGTGTAACTCCACTTCCAGGGATCCAACCTATGTGGTGCACTGCACATACGTGGTGCGTATACATGCTCTCAGGTACACACACACAGACTACAATAAACATTTTAGTTCAAATAAATAATAGACAGGTGTTGTAGCACACGTGTGTAATCCCAGTATTCAAGAGACTAATGCAGGAGGACCACTGCAAGTTCAAGGCCAGCCTAGGGCATGTAGCAAGACCTTGTCTCAAAAAACTAAGACAAGGACCTGGAAAGATGGCTTAGAGGTTTAGAACACTTGTTTCTCTTACAGAAGACCTGGGTTTTATTCCCAGACCCACATGGTGATTCACAGCCATCCATAACTTCATTCCAGGGGATCTAATGCCCCCGTCTTCTGTGAGCACCAAGTTTGCACATGGTTCATATATAGACATGCAGGCAAAACACTCACACAAAAAGTGAAATAATAAATAAAATGTTTTTAATAAGGGAAAAATAACTAAGGCAAAAGTGGGTGTGATAATGCATATTTATAATCCCAGTACTCAGGCAGAGGCAGCATTGGTAGTTCAAAGCCAGCCTCATCTATATGATGAAGGAAAAAAGAAAGAAAGTTCAAGCAAAGATGACAAAATGCCATTCATCCAGTCCAAGTGATGGGGATATACCATAGTGTTTCACTACTTCTCTGTTTGAGGTTTTCCTTCTAATTTATTTATTTAATATGTACGGGTGTTTTGTCTACATGTATATGTGTACTTCATGGGCATGCTTGGAGCCCATGGAGGCCAGAAGAGGGCATTGGATTCCCTGGGACTGGAGTTATAGACAGTTGTGAGCCATCATCCGTGCTGGGAACCAAACCCAAGTTCTCTGGAAGAGCAGTTGCTGCTCTTACCCACTGAGTCATTTCTTCAGCCCCTGTTTTGACAGTTTTCATTAAAAAGAATAAACCTGAGAAACAAAAGAACAAAGTTGCAAGCAAAACCCCTAGTGCTCCCAACCCTTGGCCCCGTCCTTGGGGCCAAGACCCTGGATGGAGGACACAGCGGTGAGACATTGTGTGACATTTGCCAGTCACTGCCAACAGCATGCTCTACTCTGTGTGGGTGTGAACCCAGAGCCTAACTGTTTTCTCCGCTCTGTTGCTATAGTGTCGCCAGCACTGTGAAGCACGCCTTGTCTATCTGGCTCAGCATCATCGTTTTCGGCAACAAAATCACCAGCCTGTCTGCCATCGGCACCATCCTTGTCACAGTGGGTGTCTTGCTCTACAACAAGGCCAGGCAGTATCAGCAGGAGACCATGCAGAGTCTGGCCACAGCCACTAGCCGGGCCCCAGAGGGTGACACAGAGTCGCTGGTTCCCCAGGACTCTAGACAGCACCACTGAGCTCGTTCTGATGCTGTGTCCCCTGGAAACCAGGCCTAGACTGTCCTCCTGCACTCTATGCTGGAATAGAGAGGCAGACTACATGGTCAGGTCTCTTGCTCCTCACTCGACATGAGGTGAGGAATTTGGGGATGAGCTTCTGCCTGACAGAGCCCTGCAGGAGGAAGCATATGGCCTGCAGCTACACTGGCACGCTGCCCAGGCTGCAAATGGGCCAATGACTCAGTGGGCCAACTGTGCATTAAGCACAGGTTCCAGTACCAACATGAATTGCTCTCTACTTGATGCCATCCAGGAGACCTCAACTTGGTTATACCCACCACCACCACCGGCACTGAAGCCTCCTGGTTCCTGACCCTCTGTGAAACAGAAATCTCAGATGCCAATGACTCTAGCATGGAGCCACAGAACCCTGGGAAACCAGAGCGGCAGACAAGTGTCTCCTTCCACAGAGGGACAGTGCTTGTGTGAAGGGAGAGTCTCTCCTTTGGGCCTGTGTTACACTGATCTACCCCACTCCAGGTTTGCTGTCTCATGTTTCTGCTACCCTTTTGGTCATTTCTCCAACTCTGGGAAGTAGGCGACAGATCTCTAATTAGAACAGGTGCCCAGGAGTTCTTTTCCATCTTGGGTATGATGAATGTGAAGCAGGCTGTTCCAAATGACATAGTTGACCACCCCGCACGATTCCCCTTCAAGATGGATAGTAGGAAAGTGTAGCAGAGACTTTGAGTGTTTACAGGTTATGTTGCATTTAAAGTGACACTGCTTTTTAACAAAGCAGGCACCTGTAAAAGCTTCTGGAGTGTCTGCATGTAAGGTGAATGAGTCTATGTACATAGCAGCCTCTTCCCAGGGATCATATGTGTCACTTCCTGAGCCACCAGGTGCCCAGAGCCTGTCCCTCCTCCCAGGGTCACTAGTGTCAGAGCTCAAGGTGTCTGAGTAGTGGAGGCTTGGGCGGCATGAGATGCTGAGGTTCTTCTACCTTATCATTTTGTGGGATCTAATGTATGGTGCAATCCATGGCCAGCCAATCTTTCTCTCTCCATTGACCCAAACTCTGAGACTTACGAACCTTAGCCACTGGCACTTCTTGTTCCAAGTCTCACTTCTCGTCTCTGCGGTACATCTGCAGTGCCCATGGTGGCTCACTGATTTCCACGTTGGGCTTCTTGCCTGGAAAATATGAGATAGATTGAGGCGAAAAAGAGCAATAAAAAGTTTATTTACTTGAAAAAGTCTGCTATGATGATGGATCAAAATGAGGCCTTTATATCTACAAGCCACCTGTTAAAGCTGTAACGCTGACTTGTATTCTGGACACAGGCTAGGTGTGTTCTCCCTGAGCTGTGTAAGGTCAGCACCACTGTGCAGGTGTTCTCTCGTTTCACTTTGCCCAGCTTTCTGGTTCCTTCCTCTTTGCCTTTCCCAAAATAAAGGTCCAATGGAGGGTAGATGATGGATCCCTCTGGCCTTCCTACAGACCTTGACTAATTATGCTGAGAGCCCCAAAAGACTGGTTTCTGAGTAGTATTTGGAATTTCTGTCTCTGTGTCCCATGTGGAATTAGGAAATGGCCCACGGTGACATGCTCTGTCTACCCCTCCCCAACTTCACCAGCCTCTCAGCCTGCTTTGGTTTTCTAAGTTTGTGGACTAGAAACAGAAACAAAGATTTTCTTAAAGCAATTTATTGTAAAGCTCCTTTGAGACTTGTCCTCATCATAGGCAGAAGGATCATAGAATCTGTACTAAAGCCAGCACCAGTACCCTGTCCAGTTTACATTCCATCTACATCATTGCCACACATGGTCACTTCTTCCAGCATCTCCAGGACAGGCATGGATCGAGAGTCCTGGAAGGACCCTGCTTGGCCATTTGTTATGACCATACTGTCACAATATTTTTTATTAACTTTGAGTACTTTTATAGAATTCTATGTTCTTAAGAATTGTTGCTGATGTACATGTAGAAATATCAACACCAGGTCTCTTTACTTTTTCCTGTGTCTGTGTCATTGTCTGGTCAGTTTAAACAGAACACTGGATGGACCTTCTGAGCCAGCCATCTGCTTACTCACTACACCATATAGATTTTTTTT